TGCTTTAGCTCAAAGGTAAATCAAGCCCATGGTGCATGAGGAGGCACCTTAATTTGTGCCATACAAGTGCTGAAGGAACAAGCTCTGGCCAGTAGAGCCGTGTTCTGTGGAGCAGACACTTGTGCCTTACTGGCTCCCAAGGAATTCCTGTCTTGTCCCTTCCCACTATCCTCACTCTTGCAGAGGCAGCTATGAACAGAGGGAGTTTGCAGTGTGGGGGAAGCTGTGTTCTATCCACAGTTGTTCTATTGCACAGGACTTGCATTAATTTGCTTCTGACTCCTTCAGTCTGGGCACTGCAAAAGCCTTTCTTCAGTTTGTGATTTTTGGGAATTTTATGTTAATAGTGGAGTTGGATTTTAATTTGGAGGATTATTATTTCTGTGTCAGCCACTTTAAATCAACTTGCATCTCATCACAGTCTGCAGCTTCCTGGTGAGGAGAAGAGGAGGGGCACACACTGATCCCTGTGGTGACCAGTGACAGGACCCAAGGGAACAGCCTGAAGTTGTGTCAGGGAAGGTTCAGGCTGGATATTAGAAAAGGTTCTTCACTCAGAGGGTGGCTGGGAACAGGAACAGGCTCTCCAGGGCAGTGGTCACAGCACTGAGGCTGACAGAGTTCAAGAAGTGTTTGGACAATGCTCTCAGAGCATTGTGACTCCCTGTGCAGGGGCAGGAGTTGGACTCAGGGATCCTTGTGGGTCCCTTCCAACTCAGGATATTCTGTTTCTGTGTGTGGGGCCTGTTCTGCTGGTCAGCATTTGTGCTCCAGCTGCCACAGCTTTGACTTGGAGCTCTTGCATGTTTAAATACAGTTGCCATTTATTTTACTCCTAGTACTGTAAATAATTAGCTAAAGGGGTTAGCAGTGTATAGCGTTTATCTTCAGAACAGGTTGTTCTGTTGCTAAGATCAAACACAAATTAGAAGGATGAAAATAAGCTAGAATGTTACAGGATGTACATATTGCAAAAATTCTGTTATTTGAAAGAAAAGTAGTATTGGCATATCTGATAATCAAAATACTGGCTTCAGCACAAAATCAAACATTAACAGCTTCTGGATATGCATTACCTTTACCATTTTGTAAAATAATGTTTCCCTTGCTTTGTTCCCCAGAGTGCCCCAGCGGTCCTGACATCATTCCCATTGTAGCTGGTGTGGTTGCTGGAATTGTTCTTATTGGACTTGCATTATTATTGATCTGGAAACTACTAATGATCATTCATGACAGAAGAGAATTTGCTAAATTTGAAAAGGAGAAGATGAATGCCAAGTGGGATACGGTGAGTCAAGAAGCTTTTCTATGTATAAAAGCTGCAGTACCGGAGGAAAAATAGAAGCTTTTTGTTCACGTGCTGTAAAGTGTTTCAGATTACAACCAGTCCTCTTGGAGAAGTATTTCTTGAGGCAGAAAAGAGTAGTTAGTAATTCAGGTTTAAGTAACATTTCAGAGAGGAAATATGATGGTGGCAGAACAGTTCAGCTTTGCAGTTCTACCATGCTTTACAACATGTGATTAAAATGTTTATTACAAAGATGAGTCACTTCTGTAGAAAGCAAAGAAAATTTTGTACTCATTTAGGAAATCTTGTAAATACGTACAAAAGGTTAGTTGGGAGACTTCCATAAAGTCACAAAATCATGGCTGATGCTGGTTTGTTGAAATCTTCCCAGATTTTTGTCAACAGAGAAATGTGCAAGAAAAACAAGCCTGTGCTCTGTGGGCTTCCATAGACTACGGAATTGCTGCCTCTGGGCAATGTCAGGAGTCTGCTAATCAAGAGCCCCTTCACTACAGTTCTGTAGCAGTCAACGCCCCCATGTGCTTGATGAGAAAATAACTTTTTAAAAAATTGTCCTGGGAAGCCTTTTGTTTTATTTAAGAAAATTGATTAATCTCATACTGGGGAAAAAAATGACTAACACTTTATATATAGTATTTTTTTTTCAGTGATAGTTGAGAATGTTGCTTTTTTTTTTTTCCTGTTGAATTATTCGACATTGACCATTTTTTTTACTTCAGCAAGAAAATCCAATATACAAGAGCCCTATTAACAATTTCAAGAATCCAAACTATGGACGTAAAGCTGGTCTCTAAGTCTCAGTTTGTATCTCCTTTCATTTTCTTTCCTTTTTTTCCCCTTTGCATGTTACTTCAAACTCACTGTGTGTCACAGTCAGTTAATCACAGTTTGAGTCTTGCTCAGTGTATCTACTGCTGCTTTGATTGTGGGGTTTTCAAGAATGCAGCTTGAAAATTTTTAACTGGTTTTGAAAGCGAGACTGCTTACTTACTAATACTGCCAGTACTGGCTTAAACTATTCTACAAGTGATTTTTAAATTTTTTTTCTAGATGTGTGGATACATAATAGAACAGCTGCTAGGATTGAAGAATATTTTTGGATTGTAGAGAGATACACAGGGGATGCTTGGTCTTCACTTTCTTCAAATCAGCAGTCAGTTTGCTTAAAATCAATATTTTTGCTAAGATAGATTAGGTACTCCTAAAATATCCCAGCCTATAAATATCACTGTTTTTATTAGAATAGCTCTGTGAACATGCAGAGTAGCATTACTTTTTTTTGTAAGCTGTTTTGGCTTATCAACCTAGCATAGACCTGGTCTGTAATTAAGGTATGAAATGCATATACTCTACTAATTTTATAATTAAATATGCATCCTATTTTTTTTCACCCTTATTTCTATTAAAACTGGCAATATCACTGTCCTTAAAACCTAGCCAGCTTTAGGTTGTCCATAGATATGGAACATTAACAGGACAGAAAGAAATACCCTTGTACCCTCTAGATGTATTTTTCACTCGGTTTCGTACACCCTCCTAAACTCAACCTGAGCACCTCATTGGATTTGAGCTGCTGAGTTCAGTTCTCTCCACACCCAGCACAACAGAAATGACAGCAGTATCCAGGACAGGAAGTCAGTGAAGCCCAAGTGATGAGCTGATACCTCTGCAGACTCTCAGGTTGCCCTTCCATGAGTGCTCAAGGTGTTCTCCTTCCCTGAGATCCCCAGCTGCTGGGGAAGGAGGGAAAGGAAGGAAGGAAATGAAGGCTGAGATGGGGAATAGATGCCAGAAGAGCACTAAGAGAAAGTAGTGCAGAGATGAGACTAGAGGGAGAGGAATGAAGAAGTTGTGAAGGTAGCACATCCATTGAACATCCATGGAGTTTTTTTCAGAAGCCAGTGGAAGGGAAGTATCTGTATCTAAAATTGTGCTGTCTGCTGTCTCCCTTTTTGAGTGTTGTATTCAAAAGATTTTGTAAAGGAAAAATAAGGGGAGAAAGCAGAAACTGAGAGTATTTAAGCTCTTACTTGCTCTTACTGTGACAACAGTTCCAAATACTCGGTGTAGCATTCCAAGCCCTTCCTGATGAAATAAACTTTCCTTTCCTCTTCACAATCATTTCACTTTGCAGTGTGTCCAAAATAGATTGTAAACAACATTCCTTTTGCCTGCTACATCAACCACATTCACCTCCTTTTCATTTTTCCTCCCAGAGCCAATTATTCTGGGGAGGAAATTGAGGTTTTGATCCTTTCTAACACTTCACATACTCCATCTGGTTAGGTCTCTGTTACCTGTTCTTCTGCCATTCACTTAACTGTGTACTTTCTGTTGCATGCAGGACAAGCACCTAACAAACCATACAGTGTGTAACTTCCATTCTGTGTTCTTATTGTCTACCCTGTGACTCTTCAGGATGTAATGTTTGGTGCTGCCATTTCCCCTCAAAATGTATTTCCTGAAAAAAGGTTTCCTCTGGTGTAAATGGAGGGATTGACTTCTGCCTTTTTGGTTTGCTCAGATGTGAAGGTTAAAAGTGTAAAAGGGTGTGGTTTGGTTTTTTTTAAACATTACTTTATTATTTTTGGTATTCATAAAAATATTAGAAGTCTGGGGAGAGAGGGAGGTGGGTCTATTCTTATGGACCATCAAAAAGGAGGAGGTCAGAATTGTCAAAGTAGGTGAGCCATGAGATGTAAAATAAGGTCCTGCTTTTCCCTGTAGATAAGATTTTCTGGTGGTCTTGCATTATTGCCATAGCCTCTCATTTAGATGAAGTGTTGCCTTGTAATGTCAAGGCAGGAAAGTCATCTGAAATTCCATTATATGAAAATCACACTGTAGTGGATTCCCTCCATGTGTGTGCATAGACAAATTAACTTTGTGCAGTTTGTGTGACCCTTCCCCTCTCCCACAGCCTTCATCCACACACAGGCTGGGGTTCTGTGGTGGGAGAACTGCAGCACCATGGAGTTTGTCATGGACCAGGTACTCTGGTATTTCCCTGGTGCTTGTCCATGGTGCAGATGATGCCACAGCATCCCAGTGGTCAGTGCTCAAGGCAGCTGGGTCAAACAGAGTTCTGTTTGCCCAGGGTCTACTCCAAATCAGCCATAAAAGCTTTGGTACAATCATGCTTGTAACAAGTCTAAGGATAAATTTCTTCTGGACTGAAAAGCTCATCACAAATTTAAAATGCAAAGCTGCTATCTGTAGTGAATGCCATTACCATTCCTGTGTGGGGCTAGCTTGTGCATTGTTAAGCATCTTCAAACAGAGCCCAGATTCAGTCATCTTGAATTTCTCAAACACATTTATATTAGATACTAAGTCTGTAGTAATTTGGTTAGCCTTATTAGCAGCTACTGGTTAAAATGAAAAAAAAAAAAGAACCCGCAAATAATTCAAAGCACTCAAAATCACCGGAACTTGTTCTTCTCCTGACTTGGATTTTGTGCTGTAATTTCCTTTGCTGCTGAACGTTGGACGTGCTCTGGGTGTGGGAGATGCCTTTCCTGTAAATTCCTGCACTCAGTGGGCACTGATTTTGTGGCCCAAGGATGGAGGGACAGGGCTGGGGTTGGCCCAGGGATGGAGGGATGGGGTTGATGGTGCCCCAAGGATGGAGGGACGGAGTTGGAGGTGGCCCAGGGATGGAGGGACGGGGCTGGGGTTGGCCCAGGGATGGAGGGACAGGGCTGGGGTTGGCCCAGGGATGGAGGGACGGGGCTGGCAGTGCCCTCTGGCAGCTGCCCGGACTGGAGCCGGCCCCATGCTCCGGAGAAACAGCGCTGGGACAGCAGTGGGGCTGCAATGGTCACAATCGGCTCTTGGACAGCGTGGGCATGAGCTTTAATTCTGTTTCTTATAGTGACTTAGGTTTTAAACCTACTGTGGAGGTAATTTCAGTGACTATTGAAACACTGAGCCCTGGAGCAAAAGGAATAAGAAGGTTAATTGAACATGGAACTATTCTGTGTAATAGTTTCATCTTTATGCGACACTGGACTGAACTGTTGTCCTCTAAATAGCCAGTCTAGTTGAAAGTGAATATTATTGCAAGAACATAGCTCTTTATTCTCAGTTGAAGGTACTTTTTAAAAGTACTTCCATCTTTATTTTGCTCAATATTTCACTGAGTCTTGTTTGTAGTTACTGTTTGTTAATTTTAATTTTGGTTTAAGTGTGTATGGAGTTTTCAGTTGTAGGGGCATGTGGCAAATGTGTTTTCCCTAACTCTGCATGCTTAAACCAGTGTATTCTCTGCAGTGCAATAAGAAAAGAGCATTTAAAATCATACTATTTGTCTAAGACAGCAAGTTTGGAATCCCATGTTTTAGTGGCCAATTAAAAAACTGAAATGTTTCTAATGTCTGAAAATGTATACCCTCTGCCAGCTGTGAGGGGCCCTGAGCGAGGGGAGCATTGTGTTGGGTTAGTGGATATTTATTTTAATGCAGAGCTGTCTGCAGGAGACCCTGCCAAGCCAGGCCCAAGGCAGGGTGGCTGGGATGGGGCTGGAACAGGCAGGGCTTTACCAGAAGAGAGCAGGGAAGGAATTTGCAGATCCATCAGGTGCCTGTATTGTAATTAGAGGCAGTAGAGCCTCAGGAGCCATTTAGCGGATCAAATGTCAGGTTGGGTTTAGCTGAAGAGTTGTGAATATTGACTAAATCTCCATTATTTGTAATGGGAACTGAGACACTGGCCTGACGTGGGGAGACAGCTAGTCACGTGCTTTATCCAGTGACCTGAATCCCACTGCCTGCTTCTGAGAAGTGCAAGTGCAAGGGAAGGCAGGACAGAGTTTCAATATCCTTACAGGGGTTATGCTAAATCAAGAGCATGAAAACTTCAATTCTGACTTCTCTTCAAAAAGCAGTATAGTAGAAAATTTGCCATCTTGTTATTCAAATTGTATTTTAAGCCTGATTTCAGATTCAAATTAGTTGTATGAGTAGAACGTAGCAAATTTTGGAGTTTTAGTCCTTACCTTTAGACCCATTCCTAGGCTATCTGGTAGAAGTTGTCTCTCTTTTACAACTGGAAGATGTCAGTGTGTACCCCTGTATGTGCTGAGGTGAGTCTGTAACATGTTGGAGGCTAACAGCACAAGTATTACATAATGCCTTGCCATGTATAATGGTTTCTTCTCTGTATATAATGCAGCCTTTTACACTTACAGACTTCCTCTGCATAATAAACTTTATATTTATAAGAATTCTCCATTAAAACTTGTTGAGGAAATAAGCAGTGTATAATGCCAAGAACTTTGAGGCATATAAAGATATTCGGTACCAGATTAAATCCCTCATCCCTGGATGTTCTGCCTGTTTTGTTTGCATGTTACTATTGCAAACCTTTTGCTAAAAATATGGGGGAAGGTCATAATTTTGCATTGATTAATTAGTTTGTCTGAGATCTAGCCACATCACATGATTTTCCGTGATTTAAACTTTTAAAAAATCCAACCAAATGTTACTCCTCATCCCTTCCCATACCAGTAGGTGATATACTTTTAATCAGGACAGCATTTGCCTGTGACCTGATAGAAGGGGGAAGGTACTTTTGCTGTTACACTGTATTTGTGAAGTTCAGCCAGCACTGAACTCCCAGCTCCTCCTTCACCTCTGTCCAGGTGACATTGACTCAGATCTTGAGAAGACTGAACAGATTTGTCTTCCATTGTCTGGCAATCCAGGTTCTGGCTGGACAGGTCTCTTGGATCTAGGCAAGACTGGATGTGCCTCCTTGCTCTTTGCCTGTTAGAGAAGCTGGCTGTGGGGGGAAAACCCTTTTTCCTGTGAAAGGAGCCATGAGAGCAGCTGCAGGGTCTCCCTCAGCAGCAGCCACTGTTACAGACCAGTTACTCATCCTGTGCTGGGCCTGGCAAACAGAAGGCAGCAAACTTCCCAGGAACCATGATGAAAAAATTCCACATCAAGTGAGGTTCTTGCTTGCCTTTGGCACATTCTGTGGTGTTCCTAGCTGATTTTCCAGGTTTGTGACCCTGAAAAATAGACACCTGATGTTTGTGCATCCTTTAATTGAGTGTAGGAAAAATTGATTTAACCTGAAATACTGTAAATAGAGTTGAATTAATATGGTTGTATAGCCCATCTCAGATTGGGTGGGGGGAATTCTGAAGGGACAGAGATTCCCTCTCTGCTGCTGAAGGCCAGAGCAGCACTTGAGCTGACATCTGCACTGAGCTGAATTTTCTCAGGACTCAGTTGTGTATGCACAAAAGAGCTTCATGCTGGCAGACAACATTCATTTAGGCTGATGTTCAGGCTGTGCTAAGAGCTCAGAGCTGCAGCTCCAGGCTGTTCTAGCAGTGGTCCTTTCTGCTGTGAAGATTTATCTGTTAATTTTGAGTTCAAGCTGCTCATCTGAGGTGTACAAGGATGTCATAAATGGAGTAAGATTTACTGAGCTAGAAGGAAACCTGGGAAAAAAAGGAAGCTTAAAATAAGCTTAATTTAGAGGTTTTTAAATCTTCAGCAAGAGAGATGTAAGCAATTGTTCTGTAGGCTTGTCTCACATCAGCAGAAATAATTTTTTTATTACAGCATCTGCACCAGTACAGAAGTTTGTTTTATCTGTACATTTTGCCCTTATGGGGGTTGGGGAGACCTGCAGGAATCAAATGAGAACGACAAGTACTGAATGTTCACTGTAAATATTGACTGTGTATTAGCAAAATACTAGAAGTCTTTCCACGTTGTTTCTAGAATTCAATTACAATGTAAGACAGGCTATTTAAATGTTTATTATAGCAGAATGTGGTCTGTGGTCAGTCCTGGTGTCAAACCATGTTGTTTATAATTCTGATCTTCTCTATAAGATGCCCTGGGCTGCAGAGCCCTGGGTGATAGCTCAGCCCTGAGATGAGCCTGCGAGGTTCAGCTGCCTCCAAGGAATTCTGTGCTGCAAATGGAACAGGATCCTGCTAACCCTTTGCTTTATTTATTAGCTCTGCATGCCTTTGTTCAAGTTGCTAGAAGGAAAACTAGTTTGACTTAAGCTGTTTGTGTGTACAAACAAAGCATTAATGGGTAATTTCTTACGCTAGTTTTTATGCTTCTTGCAAACACCTATCTTTTTCCATATCTTTAAATGTTAATATAATTTTTTTTTCTTTTTCCAGGGTGAAAATCCTATTTACAAGAGTGCAGTGACAACTGTGGTCAATCCTAAATATGAGGGAAAATGAACACTGCTTGTAAAACTTCACAACACTGTACGCAGTATAGCAACTTTTGTAGTCACAATAAGATAGATTTAGGGCAAACTGCAGTGATTTTACTAATTCATTACATATAGTAATTTTCCTATGTGAAAATGTACCATATGTAATTTTTTTTTTAATTTTTTTTTTTTTTTTTTGCAAATAAGAGTAATTGGTGCCAGAGGTTGGACAAAAAAAAAAACTTGAGACTGTGTAGCCTAGTCAGCCCAGGTCACATGGTGCCTTTTTGACCTTTCCCATTCTCATGCTGTGAATCCAGGTCTTGTGCAGGGCGTGATGCTGCATGGCATGACTGGGAGGGAAGGGGTTAAAGCAATCAACATGAGGGCTCTGCCTAGCCATTTAGTATTAAAGTTTTTAGCTTTACAGGGAAATCAGGGCTTGAGTTTGCAGATGTAATTAAACATGTAGCATGGAGCTGGTGGTTAATTGGTCTTTGACTTGCTAGATGTATGATTAAGTATTTGGTAAGTTGAGTCAGCTGGAGGGGAGCAGTGTAAAAGGCTGAAAAGCATGTGCATACTTACCTTTGATTTTCAAGTTGCATATTGCCAGGGTGAGGTTAAAATGAAAAGTTTTGAGAAGAATGTTAAGAAGGAAAAAATAGCTTTAAAACATGTGCCATTACTGAAGAAGTTGCTGACTGGTAACTTAGTTTTTCTTTGTAAATTCAAGCCCTGGGTGGCAGTATCATGAAGTACCTTACCAAGACATCCTCAGATCACCTAAGGGCCTTACGTGATGCTGTGTCTTTATTCTGTCATGTTTCTTTGCTTTCAAGCCTGGTGCTTTGTCACCTTCTAATCTTTTTAACGTATTTGGTTGCGATTCTTTTTGTAATATTTTTGTATCAACACAAGCTTTTTTTTCCTTTTTTTTTTCCTTTTTGAGCAGTCTTAGCTGTAAATTTGCCTTTACCCCGTAGCTAAGATTGCATAGTTTGTCATGTGACAAGTCACACATTATTCTTGACATGTGCCATGTATATTTGCCTCTGACCATTCAAACTGCATCATAGTCATATTCTTGTTTTAAGTGCCTTTTTATTTTAACAGATGTTCACTTTTTACAGTGCTATTACTGAAGTTATTTATTAAATAAAAGTACCTTAAAATAATTGATCTCGTCTCTTTATCTTGTAGAAGTTGGTACTATTAAAAAAACCTGAGAATTGTGTCTGTGCAAGGTAATAATTGTAATAATACCAAACATGCCCTGAAAGGAGTTAATGTCACACAGGAAGCTGACCTTTAGGAACACTAAAGGTCACTGTCCCTATACACACACTGTCCCCTATACAGTATTACCAAATTAGGCCAATATTTAATTACATATGCATTAACCTGTTCGTTACATGTTCTGCAGTTTCCTTAACAAGTCTGGTTTCAAAATGCTTTTGTGGATTGGTAGGCTGTTTTTCCACAGAGATGCTGAAGGTTTTGAATTTAAGTGGCCCATTAAGAGAGCTTTTCTAAACCCTTGTCTGAACTGGGTTTCCAGTAGACACTTCCAGGCAGATGGAAGCTGCTTAATATCTCCAAGTGAACAGTTGCTTAGATGAGAGACACCAGCTGCCATCCTACAGGATCAGATTCAATATAAGTGTCACATATTGTAGGATTTGCTTTAATCAGGATTGGATGATGCAGCTAAGAGAAAAGATGTAGTTAGATGCTGGGAACTAGAAGTAATTGTGAATCCTCCTTGGTTTGTAAATAGTGTCCTCAAGTGCTTACCTGAATTCTTCCAGACAGAGCAGTGAACTCTTACAGTCAATAGCAGTTCATCGTCCCAGAAGACTGATCCCAGCAGTTTCTCTGTTTTAAAATAATTACAGTTAATATACCCATAGTCTCACTATCCTTAATCCATCCATCTCCTCAACTCCTCTCTAGTAACTAAAGAGCTCAGCTAGAATTGTTTTATGGCAGTTGTAATAATCAGAGTTTCTTATCCTGGATAGAAGCTAACAACAAAACTACAAGTCAGCTAATGAAAATAATTCTCTGTAATTATGTGGTTTATTAATTAACTGATTTTGCAATCGTATGTTCAGCTTCCTGTCTTAAAACTACCTCTAAGTCTGCTTGGACAGTAGTCTTACCAGTCTTGAGCACCTACACATGAGGAATCTGGACTGATAAAGTGATCATCTGGGGATGCTGATGGGTTTTTCCTTTTCTGCAAAAGCTACATTCTTTTCTGTAACAAGTAAAACTTCATTCTCAGAGGAACTTAGAATGTGAGTAGGATAAAAAGGAGAAGCTTTTAGTTAAGTAAAATACTGATGAACTAGAGATGTTGAGTATATTCTAGTTACACACTTCTACTGTTTAGAGGGTGTTTTTCAAGCACTTCTGATTTTCTTTTTGAAAGAAAGCATTTATCTAGCAGAAAGAAAATATTTATTAGCAGCTATGAATGCAACTATCAGAACACAGAGTGCTGCAACATAACTCCAGTAATAATAAATACATTAACCCCATCTCAATAAAATGGATAAATTGCAGATAAAAAACCACTGTAGGACATAATTCCAAAGTACTTGAGAATGTTTTTAATGAGGGTGCTGACATAGCATAGTATCAGAATAATAATAATACAATCAGAATAATATCAGAAACTTTAAAATATGACAGTTGTTAGTCAAACCATCTACTATAGTAATGCCTAATTGCAAAATGGGAAAATAAAATTAATTCAAGGACGTAACTATAAGTATGTTTGAATGGAGCCACCAAATTTTTCTTGGGCACCAGAGAATCTGTTCGAGGAAGATTTTAGAAAGATTACACAAAGAGAAAACTGGATTAAAAAGGCAGTAAATGCAGCTGATCGAAGATATCCTTGAAAAAGCTGAATATACAAAAGAAACTTAAACATTAGAAGTATGCTAAAGAGGATTTCATTCCTCATGAAAAGCACAAGAAATAATAAATACACAGTAAGAAGAAGTCTTGACACCAAGATTAAGAAGGACAGTTGTAATAAAGAAATGACAGAATTTGTAAACTCATTCTTTGCTTATATATTTCTTATGGCTATTTCATGAGATAGCAAACCTAACATTCCCCAGCAGAGGGCAAATACCAGAGAAATTACTCAAAATGGAGCGTCAACAAAACATTCTAGAGAGGAATCAAGAGAAGGAATAACAGCAAACTGCCAAAAGCCAATGCTAATAATTTGAGAAGGCTTAAGGAACTCAAGGATGAGTGCCAGGATTTATTGCCATATGAATGGGAAATTACTAACATGCGTAGTCTCAACTTTTAAAAGGCTTTCTGGAACTTAAAATAAAAAAGCTACCCAGATGTTTCTACCACTGTCTGGTAGGAATTAAAGTGGACACGGGGGTAAGTGTGACATACAGTGAGAGAATCGGCGTGGACAGAGGGATGTCATATCCCACAAATGTGAACTTTGAGCAATGTGCAAAGAGATAATTTTATACAACTGGAGTTCCAAAGCCTTCTAACAATGCATCAAGGACCACTGCAGAAACTTCCAGGGGATGTAAAGAAAGTCTTGAAAAGAACAGCAGCTATTAAAGACAGAATGTTAAAAAGCACAGCACAAGAACTGTTACCGGCTCTCTAATCTGAGTTTCCTGGCAGTAAGAGACACTTCACTTTAGTCTTATACATCAGAAACAAATATCCAGGCTGTTACCAGTACCAGCCCACATTCACGTTCAATTTTTTCACATGTTGCATAAGTTCTACTACCAGAACAGAAAGTGCAGCCATTTTGAGGTAGATTACAGACTCTGGAGTTACCAAAGCATCTCTGACTTGGAAGCATCCAAATGCAGTTTACATTTCTGTTAGAATTGGTGTTTCAGTGAAATTATCCAAGTGCCAGTTCATTTAATCCTCAAACTGAAATACGGTTATTCTCTCCTTCTGTTTGAAATATTGTCTACAGTGAGCAAACAGAAAATATTTTAAATGAAACTTTATGTCTATTTCCTTTCACTGGCACCTTCATCCATGCAGGATCTAGAGCCCTGAGCCCTCCCTGGGCGTGGGCAAGTATGATACAGTTCAGTGACTGGAGAACACCCCAGAGAAAGAGTTTTGTTGGTCTCCATTCCCTGTTGAAACTGGATCACTGTGCAGTCAGAAACCTGGAAATCTTTTGGACAGTTAAACCCAGGAAGGCATATTACTCTATGAATAGGTCATTATTTAACACATTCTGCTTTTGCTGCACTGCTCTCTTTGACTTGGGCACCTCAGCTTTCTATGGAACATTCTGCCTTAAGTGCCAAACAGGTAAGGTCTGACCTTTGCACTGAGTTCAGGGTCCTACATAACACTGCTCATCAGGTTTTTCTCAGTTAATTCCTTTTGAGATAGAAAATTAAAATTAAAATACTCTATTTTAATTTTACATTGGTAAGGAATACACCACAAAGCTGACAAATATTCAGCTGGAATTACTTGGCAGAACAGTATTTATCTAGTTTTGTAGTAAAAATATCTTTCTGTAAAACTCCACTAACTTGCAGATCTCAGCTCTGCCAGCATTAAAACTGCTATTAATAAATAGAGTACCTTCAGTACTGCTTAAAAAAAAATTAAGTTGGTTTGCATTTTATCTTCCATAAAACAAGAATGAGTGATAGTAGCTATATTTCCTTCCCTTAGTTTTCTATTGATATTGCACTGCTAAATATTCTATCCAATATCAAACTGATACTGTCCCTATATTATTTTAAAACACTAGCACAACCATTGGTTTTAAAACATTTGCACAACAGTAGCTCCATTAGAGCTTCCTGGAAACTCTCCACAGTTTCAAGAAATACAATAAATTATCTGTCCAAGCAGCTCCTTGACCAGCCCATTTGTTCAGTGCCTTTCCAAGACAATCTTTAGCTCACAAGTAAGCACTCTGCTCGTGCACGTGCAGACTGGGGCACTACCTATGCCCTTGTAGTACAACATTTTGTAGTGTAACAAGATTCATATTTCTTTCCTGTTGTCTGAAGCATCCTATCAATTTCATTAGAGTTTAATAAAATCAGAAAATCGGACAAAAAATAGAATAAAAGTAGTTTCTGAAACAAGCTTTTCCTGCTCTTGGAAAATCTTTCAAAGATTTCTTATTTATTCCCAAATAGTTATTATCAGAATTTATAGTCTATCAACAGTTTTATACCAAAATGGTTTCTTATAACCACAATATTTTATCATCAAATTTTCATATTAAGTTCATATACTAAAATGTCACTAGCCAGATAGCCATTGCAGAGAGTAATTAAGAGTTATATTTAGATATAAAACATGTCCTGGCCAACACCTAAATCATAGCAGTTTTTCAGGGGCTTGCAGAAGGAAGGCAGCTGCAGCTGAGCAGAGAAGATGAATACAGCTCGTAAGGGTTCTGCATCTTCAGTAGAACAAACAGCAACGACTGCAGTGAACAGAACACAAAGGGAAATTCTACATAAATTAGCTCTGCCTCCTGTGCCTTAGAACACTGGTCTTCAAAGATCAAAGTTGGCTGCAACATCACAAAATCGTATTTCAAAACTCATTGAGAACTTTCAGGTAAATTTGATTAATCTTAAAAAATACTTCAGTACATATTTGGATTATTAACTTTATTTTTTCTGTTCTATGAATTAAGTTCTGAATTAGAAAGAAGGAGACTGAGGCACCTATCAAAAAAGGAATTTGGAATCCCCTGACTTGTCCCCCATCTTGACAGGGCAAAGACTCTTAAGGCTAATTACCTTTTATAGATAATTATCTGCATAGATCAGTTTAGAATATTCACTTTTCATCTGACATATTCCAGATCACACACAAGTATCAATACTATGTATTTCCAGTTAAAATAAAATGAAAAAATAAAAAATACTTTAAGTACCCATCCTAGGATTGTCTACCAAAGCCGTAATTGTTACTGACTGTACATGCAGATGAATGCCCACAGAGGGTCTCACCCTCTGGCCCAGGTGCACTTGGCTGTGCTGCTGCAGAATTCCTCACTTGCTGCAGGTCTTTCAATTTTTTTTCAGACTTGCAGCTAAAATTTTTTTCAGCTCATATCCTTTCTTCCCTATAGGAAATGGGAGATATATTACTCAATTTAAAGTTTTTCAAGCTCTTGTAATGTAAGATTTTAAGCTAGAGTGCTTACTGTTGAAAAGTTGTCTTTGCATTCTCATAGTAAATACAGTATACTAAAATTAGAGACAGAAAATTTCCATATTAGTATTAAAATATTTAAAGTGAAGGCTAAAAAAGTCTATACGCCGAAATGTACTATGACAAAGATGTAATGCAAGTACATAACACCCTCTCTCTAGAAAATAAAAGCAACTAATTCCTACCTGCTGAAATTTATACCTTTGATAACATTTTCCATTTATAGTGACAATCTAGTATTGCAGACATAGGTCAGAAGTTTATTTTTATGCATCTTTGACTAATATGTTCCTATGTTATCAGTCTTTTGATGTTTTTTTTTAAATTTAAAAATGCTTAAGTAGCTCTCAGACAATCTAAAATATCATTCCTCCATGTCAGAAGTTCAATGTCCATTTTCACCGACGTCAAAACAGATATTCCCTTCAACTTCCTTTTCTTCACATCTCAAAGGAAAGAATTCTAAACATTAAAAATTGCTAAAAATAATTTCCATGTTTATATAAAGCCAGTCTGCACTCATAGTCCTGAGAGATATGAATGTCTCCATGATTCTACTCCATGGACACACATGAATAAATGATACAGCATCAGACTGCAGCTGTGTGTTACCATTTGTGCTGCCTGCTTGGCTGCCTGCCAGACCCAGGATTTCC